TATAATCAAATGAAAATATAAGAAAAATATAAGACTTACCCCTCCATCGAAATAGCCATTGTCTTCGACCCCTAATAATACGCCCCACCAAGACCGATCACGCAACAAATAGATATCATCATTGAGCTTGCATATGTCAGTGAAACACCCCTGGCTTCGCTCATGTAGATAAAAATCAACTGCGGTCTTAGCCCAAAGGGTGTTATCCAGAATTATGTCCGGTAGTTGTTTCCTCTCCTCTTCAGATACCGGTATGGTACTGGCCGGTAACTCATACGAGAGCCAACTTGAATCCATCATGTCCGGCACGTCAGAGGGTTTCTCAAGAATCCTACATATGACGCCATGTGAATCGGGCTCTTGAATGGTGGGAGGGACCTCTTCAACGATGACAGTGGCCTCTTGAACGGTGGGAGGGGACTCTCGAGGAATGATAGGGGCCTCTTCAACGATAGGAGTGGACTCTTGAGGGATGACAGGCGAGTCGGGCTTCTTCTTGCGGTGTCTTCGCACTATTGGGGTATACGGAGACTTAATAGCACGTGCACGCCGTCTGATGCGTGAACTCTGTCGTGCAAGAAAAACCCGACGTAAAGCATCCACCTTATCGGTCCGCTAAATAATTAAATACAAATATCAGTAAATAAACAGACATGATATTTAAACAATGAAAACAAAGATAAATATATTTCAAACTTTCAACCAAAAGACAAAACAAGACAAATACTAACTTCACAGTGTTAAAGTAAAAAGTTTAGCAGTTTTGGCAGCAACCGAATAAATTTACTAAGCAATCTAAGTGAAATGGTTAATTTAAGTGAAATTACGAGTAAATTTATCATCAAGTTAAATATGGAAAATCTTAAACTTACCTCGTTGCGTAGAGTATGAACCTCATTATGCAACGATACTACCATCTCACGTAGAGCGGCAACCTCACCACGTAAAGTAGACACCTCCACACGCCATGCACCATCGTTATCAAGTAGAGTACCGATCTCCTCACGCAAGGCATTGACCTCATCACGTAACTCCCTTGACTCATCCCGTGGAGGTGGAGAATATGGAGATAGAAGTCGTGGCATCTTTGCCGTCGCCTATCATGAGGTGATGGTGGAGAAGAGGCTCGATGATGTGACGGGATAGGTGATGGCTCTCGTTGTAGAGGTGTATAGTCGGGTCGATCAGGTGATGGCTCTGGTGAGGTGATGGCTCTCGAAGTAGAGGAAGTGGAGGCTGCTCATCATTCGTGCCATCAAGAAAACGCTGACTAGCTTGCCACCAATCAATGGCAAGCTCAGCCTCCGTGGGTGTCAGTCTCATTAATGGAATGTTGGCCTCCTAAAAATATAAAAACTCAAACAAAGTTAAACGTCTACTATTAATAACTTGTTTATATATGATAGTATTTGTGTTAACTTACATTATTTATTGTCGCATATGGTATTAAGTCTTCCCAATCCAACAGACGTTTCCTCTTCCAGGAAATAGCCCTGGGAATATCATTTGAAGTTTTTATTGCATATGTCTTCATGGCGGGAAAGGCCTCGAATATCCAAATCTACAAACAATATAATAACAAATATTAGTAATTGTTAAATAATTAATTATAATTTTAAAAACATTATATAGAAATTCTTACCTTAAAGGCCCAAACAAAGCCTGACAAAGTGTATTTCGACCCATCGCCCCGCAAACTTTTGCGGTCATCAAAGGCAGACGACAACTTAGTCCAGGTAGCTTTCCATATATACGAACCCCACGGAAACAGATTCCATGCATTTAGGTCCTCTACCAATAATATTAGCTCATGAGGAATAGGTTGTCTGGCCTCTCTGCCTAAAAAGCCGGCATACAAAAGTAGTAGAAGGCATACTCGGACAACATCGACGTCATTCATCCGAGTAAAACCATCTTTCTTATTAAACAATTTCTTCATGTCGTCGACGTGTAAGTTCGGCTTCTCTATTGACTCATCAGGAAAAACCCTGGATAACCATGATGGGCGGGTGATATGACGAGTGTACCGACCTACATCATCGTGTCCGAATCGTAGACCAGTGATTAAGCAGAACTTCTTCCGCCCAAAACAAGTATACGCCGGTGGAAAATAAAACCATATCTCTTCCTCACACGTTGTATACTGTCGGGTAGATCGCTAGTCATGGTCTGAAGCCACAAATGGGTCAAACTAGCATCTCCACCCGGATGTTGTACTCTCAGCCATGGCCCGAAGCAGGTTTCTTCAAACAATTTTCTTTGTGCAGGTGAAAGCTTCGAAGCAATTGTAGTGGCTAGGCTAACTTTATTCTTTAATGTCAATGAAGCCGAAAAAAATTTCTACAAAAAACAATAAACATACCAAGTTAGATATACTAAAAACTACACTGTCAAGATATACCAAAAACAAAACAATAAACATAAATAGTAGTTTATTCTTGAAACTAAAATTTGCAACACTGTTTTTGTATTTTGGTTGAAATGAAAATCGCAACGAGATAATGAAATCGCAACGCGGAAATGACTATCGCAACGAGAGAATCGCAACGCGAAATGACTATCGCGACCAGACAATCGCAACCGCGAAATAAAAATCGCAACGCGAAATGAAAATCGCAACGCGAAATGAAAATCGCAACGCAAAATGAAAATCGCAATGCGATTTTTGTTTCGCGTTGCGTTTTTTATTTCGCGTTGCGATTCTCTCGTTGCGATAGTTATTTCCGCGTTGCGATTTTCATTCTCGAAACTATTCTTCTTCTGCATTACTTCAACCAAAAGACAAAACAAATACAAATACTAACTTCACAGGCTAAACAGTTTAGCAGTATTGACAGCAATCGAATGAATTTAATAAGAAATCTAAGTGAAATGGTTAATCTATTATTGAAATTACCAGTAAACTTATCATCAATCTCAATATGAAAAACCTAAAATAATGCAAAAATTTCAAAATAAAAATAAAAAAAACTAACCCTCGGAGGTTGATTTTCCATTTCTGAATGATTGTGAGGGATTTTTGACTGTGAATGGTTGTGAGGGATTTCGTCGGCGATGGGGACGGAAATCTTCGGAGATGAGGACGGATTTCGCCGTAGAGAGTGAGAGATGGAGATGGGACTGAGTGTTGTGATTTTGGGTTTGAGGTTATGAGTTGCGATTACTGTGGACGGTTCAGTTTCCGATTTATTAAGAAAAAATTCGTGTTTGGAATTTGAAAAAAATACGCGTTAATACGAATGGCGCTATGTAAATCGCGTTGCGAAAGTCAGAATCGCGTTGCGAAATTCAGTATCTAATTGCGATTTTGTATTATCGCATTGCGATAGTCAGTATCGCATTGCGATTTTCCCAATTCGCGTTGCGATTTACTTATTCGCATTGCGAATTGGGAAAATCGCAACGACACTGTATACCATCGCAACGCGATTTCCAACTATCGCAACGCGAAATGCAACACGAATTTGTGATAATGGAGATCGCGTTGCGAATTAGCGATCGCATTGCGATTTTGTTGGTCATTTTGGCAAATCCGGAAAAAGTTGGTTAAAATCGTATATTATATGGGTTTTTTGGTCACTGAGGTTATTTTCTCTTCATATAATTTGTCTTACTATTAAAAAGTTATAAGACCATCCCTTAATTACAAGGTATTATTTAGTTGAATCTTTTGACTATTAAAAGTTATAAAACGATCATTTAAATATTAATATATTCTAAGCTCATATTTTTCGTTAAAAAATTAACGGTCTTATAAGTTGGACGTTAGCCTACTAATCGAGATATGATAAAATATAATCCTAGAACGTTTGAATTTTATATTCGTTTGAGATTCTAGGATCATATTTTATTATACCTCAATTAATAAGTTAACGCCTAGTTTCGACGACCATTAATTTTTTTAACAGAAAAAGATGAGTTTGAAACATATGAATAGTTGAGTGATCATTTTGTAACGTTTAATAATCGGGGACTGAACAAAGCATCATCTTATAATCAAATGATCGTTTTATAACTTTTAATAATCAAAGGACTCAATAAAATAACATTCAGTAGTTGAGGGATCACTTGTGTACTTTACCTTATATTATTCTCTTGTAAAATTATTGGGTTTAAAAAAATGGGTCTTATAAGTTTGACGGTAGTCTACTAATCGAGATATGATAAAATATAATCCTAGAATCGTTTGAATTTTATATTCGTTTGGGATTCTATGATCAGATTTTATCATATCCCAATAAATAAGTTAACAACCAGTTTAGACGATAATTAATTTTTTAACAAAAAATACGAGTTTGAAACATATGAATAATTATGTGATCATTTTATAACTTTTAATAATCGAGAACTGAACAAAGCATAATCCTATAATCAAATGATTATTTTATAATATTTAATAGTCAAATATCTTAATAAAGTAACATGTAATAGTTGAGGATCAGGTGTGTACTTTACTATTGAGTTTAAAAAACATGGGACAATTTATAGTGGTGATCATTTTTATTTCATTTTGTTTTGATTTTAGTGACCCAATTTTTAATTATTATTTAATCACTTATATTATCGATTAATTATAAATTAATCATTCAAATTTGAGAGTTGAGACTGTAAGTTTTTTTTTTATAGAAACCGACTAGCTTTATGAAAAATAAAAAATGTTTAGAATTATAATGGAGATTTTAATGATAATTATTTAAAAATATTTTTTATAAAAATATAATATATTACAAAATTATGAAATTAATATTTTATTTAAAATTTATAATGAGAATATAAATTATTCACTTTTATTAACATTTTATTTTATTAATGTGACAAATTAAATCTTAATAATAAATTTATAATTTATAAATAATATAAATAATTAAAATATAATAATTAAATATAGATAATCACAATAAGAATAAAATAAAAGCTACCGCTAATTTACTTGACCTAAAAAATAGGATAATATATTTCGAAAATTAAACTCTACGGACATTGTAAATGCGAGGGCAATAAGTTCAAACCCTAATTTTATCCATTCCTCCATCACTCACAAATCTCAATTCTCTTCTAAGCCTGCCGCCGTCGCAGCCGCCATCACAGCCGCTCGCTGCTGTCACAACCTGACCGTGAAGGTGTGATAGTCCACGCTCTGAAATCGGAATCAACACAGAGGAAGTCTTGAGATTGATCCAGAGTTTTTGAACGGCGCTTTGCTCGGATTTGGGATAAGCGAGAAATAGTATTCAAGGGAAGTTTTGTCAAACATGGGTAAGAAGAAGATGAGCGAAAAGGATGGGCATGAGAGAGGGAACAAACAGGTTGAAGAAGGCAAATCCGCTGAGAAGGTAAGTGATGGTTTAGATCTGTCTACTGTAAACCTGAATGATGTTACCAAATCAAACAATAGAGATGATAATAAGAATGAACAGGAGGATCGAATAAAGAAGAGGAAATCAGAGTTCGATTCAGATGAAAAGGAATATCATAAGATTCACAAAAAGTATAAGAAAAGTAAATCTGTACTTGAGGTTGAAGAGATTTCAAAGAAAACTGCAGAACGAGAAAGCACTGAGGCCATCAATTTGGAGAACAATGGGGAAGCAAAAAGGACTAGAAAAGATAAACACAGAAAGAACAGGGATGGGCTTGAAGACGCTAATAAGATTGTGGATGGAGAAGAAGAGGCAGACAAGAAGCGGAAGAAGAAGAAGAAAAACAAGAGCTTGAGAAGGTGAATGGTGCTGTTGCTGATGAAAATGGTACTAGTAAAGAGAATTCAACAGGCAATGAGATAGAATGCAGAAAATTGCGAGATAGTGCTGGTGATATCGAAGATGGTAATGGACGCAAGAAGAAGAGAAATCAAATCAGTGATAAATGATTCTGAGGAACAGAAAATCTGCAGCCATGAAGACGCTAATAAGATTGTGCACGGAGAGGAAGAGACATATGAGAAGCGGAAGAAGAAGAAGAAACAAGAGCTGGAGAAGGTGAATGGTGCTGTTGCTGATGAAAAAGGTACCAGTAAAGGGAATTCTGCAGGCAATGAGGTAGAATGCAGAAAATTGCGAGATACTGCTAGTGATTTTGAAGTTGGTAACGGACACAACAAGAAGAAGAAATCAAAATCAGTGATCAATGATACTGAGGAACAGAAAATCTGCACCCTTGAAGACACTAATAAGATTGCGCAGGGAGAGGAAGAGGCATACCAGAAGCCAAAAAAGAAGAAGAAACAAGAGCCGGAGAAGGTGCATAGTGCTGATGAAAATGGAACTAGTAAAGTGAATTCAGCAGGCAATGAGATAGAAAGCAGAAAATTGCTAGATGCCGGTGGTGATATCGAAGATGGTATTGGATGCAAGAAGAAGAATAAATCAAAGTCAGTGATAAATGATTCTGAGGAACAGAAAATCTGCAGCCCTGAAGACTCTATTAAGATTGTGTACGGAGGAGAAGAGGGATACGTCAAGGGGGAAGAAGAAGAAACGAAAGATGGAGAAGGTGAATGGTTCCGTTGCGGATGAAAATGGTGCTAGTAAAGAGAATTCAGCAGGCAATGGGATAGAAAGCAGAGAATTGCGAAATATCGGTGGTGATATAGAAGACGGCGATGGACGCAAGAAGAAGAAGAAGAAATCAAAATCAGTGATAAATGATGCGGAGGGTGGACTTCATGAAGGTGATCAGGTTGAAAATGCTACACCTAAAGATAAATCTAAGAAAGTGAGCTTCCGTGATCAGGTTGAGGTTTTCCCTTCAGATAATGCAAACAAAGGCTGCAAGGTTTTCCCTTCAGATAATGCAAACAAGGGCCGCAAAGACGGTTTAGTGTATGGTAAGCGATACTCGAAAGAAGAAGATGAGCTTCTTATGAAGGCAGTTGCCGATTATATCGAGTCTCGTGGCTTAGGTGATGAAGGTATAAATATGGTTATGAACTGTGGAGCTCACCCTGAAGTGAGAAACTGTTGGAAGGAAATTCAAGCCGCCATTCCCTGGAGGCCGCTTAGTAGTGTGTACGGTCGAGCTCATGTTATTTTTGAAAGGGATGAGAAGCATCCATGGACTCCTGAAGAGTTGGAGACTGTCAAAGAATTCGTCGAAAAACATGGACGGAATTGGAGATTGTTGGCCGATTCACTCGGCAAGCATAGGCATCATGTAAAAGATACATGGCGCAGAATAAAACTGACCAATGTGAATAAAGGTCGATGGTCTCAAGAGGAGTTCCAGAACTTATTTGACTTGGTGAACGTGGATTTATCTATGAAAGCTCACCAGGACAGGATATCCAAGCACGGAATGTTGCGAGACAATATCTGTTGGACTGCTATTAGCGACAAGATGGAAACCAGGCCCTTTGTCTCCTGTTGCGTTCAATGGTATGGGAAGTTAACTTCTCCTATGGTGGCTGATGGTGTATGGTCGGATGTCGACGACTATCGGATGATAGATGCTCTTTCTAGCTTGGATGCTTGCTGCATGGAAGATGTTGACTGGGACAATCTTCTCGAGCATAGGTCTGGAGATGTATGTCGGAAACGGTGGGGCCAGATGATTCAAAATTTAGATCCAAACAAGGACCTGTCATTTGCTGAACAAGTTGATGTTCTTGCTAATCGTTACCGTCCCGACATGATTGAGGCCAGAGAGACCTATGATAACAAAATTCCAATTGATCTGCCATAGGTGTGCTCTGCTATTGATATCTTCAGAACGTTTTATCTTGTTTCTAGCACTGTTTTGTTATCTTCAGAACATTGTATCTTGTTTCTAGCACTGTTTTATTTATTTTTATCTGAATTCTCATTATTATTATTATTTGGCATCTATATTTAAAAAATATGATTTTTTTTTCGTTTATTAAGTTTTTCATCATCTTTCTATTATTAGTTTTTAAAAAAAGTTTTCCTTCATGGATCAAGTTGTCCACAAGAACATTACAATTGGACCTAGAAACTTCAAAACCTCTATCCTTTATCCCAACCTGGTCTATCCTACTAACGCAATCATCAATGAAATAATTGTTCAGGTCAAACCCATCATAACTTATTCTTTGATTCTTGAACGCTTTGAGGGTGGCAAACTCGAATCGGAAACATCGGTTTCAGGTTTCTTGAGGTCAGCAGTCTTATGTGCCTCTTGCTGTCCACTCACTTCTCATGAACTCGTCTCCAAGATGGACTTGACATTAACGTCAGTTCCAGAATTTACATGATTTGTCTGGGAGGCTTCAAGTTTGCCTTTTGCAGGCGTCTCTTTGGTAGCATCTGAAGGAGTGGATCGATTCTCTGGATCAGAAGGTGACACCTTCAGCTTGTCAAAACCCGACTTTTGCTTCTCGAACATCATATGGAGGTACCGCCCTTGCTCTTCTATTTGCAACTGTAAATTTCTTTGTATCCGCAGAGAAAGGAAAGATACCATGGATCTGAATGAGAGCACACCAGATATTAAAAGATAAATTTATTTGAGCATGAATTATGTGCTTTTATGCCCCCAAATTCATACCTCAAGTTGTTCATGCAGCTGCTTCTGGACTTCCATCTGTAGCCGCAAAGCTTCAGTGATCCCCATACCCCTGCTCCAGTTCAAAATTAAAAAGAGTGCATTTAATACAGTGAAGCTTCATTAGACCTTGAACGTTAGGTACATTGCTCCTTAAGGATTCCATTAGGAATTGCCTATAATCAAACCTTTGCACAATGCAACAACGAAACAGGAATAAGACTGTAAAGTTTGCAGCTCCGTAGGATTTTTTGAACTAATAGGATCCTTCAACCATCCCTTTGCACTATACACTACAGTATTACTACAACAATATCAGTAGGAACCACTTACGCTTTCAAATCCAGAGATGCTAAATCTTCCGTAGAAGTCGTTTTTTTCTCCAAGGATCCTGCAAGCAAGTCATAATTTCAGCCAGATATAAAGTGAACAACCCCAATTATCCAAAAACCGAAGTTACAAAAAATGACAGAATATCCATGGCAACTACAAAGATAATCACTTTGTGATTAAATTAAGGGCAAATTTTGAATGAATGTTGGTGTGTGTGGGGGGGGGGTCACAACACAGCTGAAGATTCCAGTTTAACCAAATGAAGGGAAAATGATCTCCATTTCATTGAAGAGGACAGCATGGACCATACTCCTCTCAAGTATCAATATTGCATCCATTGAAATACAGTGCTATGATATCTAATGTATCGGTATGGGAGGATATGATTATTGAGTGCATGGTAGCATGCATCATAATTCACTGGACAGATAAAGTTTCTGGATCCAATTAAACCAAATGAAGGAAAAAAGATCACTTCATGGATAAAACATCGAAACAAAGCTAAACAGGCGGCAGATGGACACATGCAGTGAAGTAACACAGATAGGAAAAGGAAGGAAACTTAAAGGGAGCTTGACATATACCTTCTGATGACTCTGGTCTGTATCTGGCAGCCCTATATTTCTGCAGTTAAAGGAAGGAAAACGTAACCAGGGCTTTTGAGCACCCATACATATGCAGATTCTTTAATAACTAAAAGAGGTGTATTTACCTGCAAATGACTTTTAACATGATAAATAGTCAAGCCTTCAACCTTCATAAGCTTCAGAACCCCCTTTGGAGTAGCTCCTGAAATTTGGAAAATACCGAACAGATTGAGACAAAGGCCTAACAATTTTTGGCAAGCAATTTCACGAGAGCCAAAAGGTACGCACTGTCGCTGCCTCCTAGTTGGTTGACAGCCTCAACAAAGGCTTCATGAAGTTCTGGTGTCCACCGCATTCGTGGCTTTGCTGGGGCATTATTTGCTGATGAAGAGGAGTTTACAACACTGTGACTTGCTGCAGATGGAGAAGGAAGCTGCTGATGTACTTCGGGTTTCTGTTCAGATACGGTTGTGTATGGTTTTGCCACCTGATATGCCATGTCAAACAACATGAAACAAGGATAAACTATGCCAATAAGTTTAAAGTTTACGTGGTTAAGTATAATCTTCCATGATAGGAAAAAAAATCCGCACCTATGGTTCCATATCCATAACATTGTCAACAAGACGCTCATTCCAATTGGAGGCCAACACATCATCGTCAGTGATAAGCTGGTCTGCCCATTCCTGCCAATCATTACTTTTGCACAAGTCCTCGGATGTCATGATATCACTACAATTGATGCTTTCTACTTGACAGCTCTGGACATGGGTGCTTATAGGAAATCAGGGAAAACCATATTGGTACACCAAGAACCACTATTTTCTTTGTAGTAATGACTTGACATCGTAGATTGAGGCAGCGTTTGGTTAGACGAAAATCCTGAGGATGATGAGAATATATGATCAACCACCCGACAATTGGTGGAAGAACGAGTTACACGAACCAGAGAGTTCCCCATCAGTTCCCTTTTTGCAGAAGCTTGCTGAGTGCCAGGCAATTTCCGATATGTATCATCCAAAGGTGTTGAAATGGCTGGTAAAGATGATGCAGTACTTCAGACACCCCCAGGTTACTTGCATCTGATCTCCGGAAACAATGTGAGCAGCCACCAACTCTTCAGTCATAGTTTTGGACATTGAAACTTCCTGTAAGCAGTATACGATTTCCTGCCACACAGAATGTCAGCAAACACGTGCAAAAAAGGAAATTTTGGGTTTTATTTGTGAGCAGACTTTTACCTCTTCTGTAATCCTTCTGTGCAAAGAGATGATATTACTTTTTTCGTCGGTGGCAAATGTGAACAGGTGCTCAGTCTTCTCATCGGTCTTCGAATCTGCAAAGGAACGAAACTGCAATGCATGTTCTATTTCATCAGAAATGGAAAACAGTCGGTTAAAAAGAGTGAACATTTGAGATTTCTTTTCTTTCATACCTCCAATTGTATATCTTTTTTCATCAAAAATTGAATAAACGAGTGCGGTTTAGCTTGAACCCTGAAACTGTTTAGGCAGACGAAGGCAATCTGATCTGTTAGCGTATGGTTATGCAGAATCCTTATTGGATCTTCATGACTAGTTGCTACAGAAATTACAGATTCGTCAGGATAATGAGAAACACATTCAATAAAAGAACGCTTCATAGCTTGAGTTAAAGCCAAAAGAAAAGAACCAGCTTCACACCACAACACCAACAAATTATTGAATCAAAAACTTAAATTATCCAAGAATAAAACTGAAAAGAAAACAAGACTTATTATTACCTCTGGGATGCACAACAATTTTGAGATCAGCGAATGAACTCTTCTCGCGCTTCAGATTCCATAACAGTGTGTTTGTTGAACGTTCTGCACCGTATGCAACATTTGAATTGATTATTGAGGAGTATATGTTTTCTCTGGTTTCATCCACTTCCACGTTCTCAATTCATATAATCTGTTCAAGGAGAAAATTAAAATGCTATTTGAAAAAGGAAAAAGCTTTTCTATTTCAATGATTGAAGCAACTGTAAGGTAAAAGCAAGTTATCAAAGACAACAAACCTCACAATCTTGAGGTCCATGTTCCCTGATTATAACTCCTGATGGTCTCTTTTCACTATTACACTTTGAATAAGGATCACCAAAATAACGGCTTGTGAAATCAACAACTATGTAAACTCCATTCATTATCTGTTTCCCATATCGCAAGAACTCGAAATATCTTGTCGGAACCAATGTTGATGGTAGTTGAATCTCTGCATGCACCTATATACATGGAACATAGAAGTTTAGTATAGGGGACAAAACCAAGGACAACTCTGCCTGCAATTTCAGTTAAATATGTATTGGTTGAAGGATGAACAAATGACACTAACCGCATGCAATTTTACCTGTATTTACCCTAGATGGTTACATCAATCGTGCTTAAGTCCCGAAGACTGCCTGTTCTCTATATTTCTCTCCATGTTTGACAAAGGGAAACAGTGACTTAGACCACTTGGTGTCGTGGGAACATTATACAACAAGAACATAAGGGACAACTAAAACTGAATTAACGGAGCAAGAAAGCAAGCATGGAACAACTTCTAATATTTATGAACTACCGATTTGGCATTGATACACAAAACTTGAAATATAAGAAAAGCATGAAATACTCACCACATGCATCATGATAGCGACCAGTTCAGATGCTCGGATATCTGGAACGACTGCAGTTGCAACAGATAATTCTATCTTTTTTCCAGGAAGAGGAGGAGTTCGGAACTCATTTAAAAGATCATCCAGATTACCTAACCCAGGCTTCGCTCGAACCCAAGTGCCTGCTTCCAATGCCAATGTCATGACCTCCAGGTAAGCTGCCTTACAGTGATTGTTTGCAAACTGCAATTTTTGGTAAGCACGAAGTACTCGTTTATAATTAAATGTTCTGAACACAAATGGAGAGTCTCTACAGCCATATGTTTTATTTGCAGAAGGCTCGTCTTGTTGTCCACAGTTATTCGACTTAACAGAAGGGTCTCCTATGTGTTTTCCTTCAATTCCTCCTTCATCTGCAAAAGCTTCATCTGTAGAGTCTCCCCAATTATCTGCATATCCTCATACGCCTAGAAGGTCCAGGTAACTGTAGGTAAGCTTCATCTGTAGACAATATTTCTTCAGGTGGAGAAAACGAAAGCGAGAGAGTGGGAGATGGGATTTAAAGAGGGTTTTTATAGTGAAACAAAGGATCGTTTCCGTTTTCGGTTATATTCCCGCCAGAACTTGAAAAGTCCAGAAGGGTACTTATGTAAATGGACACGAACGGGGTCACATATATTTTTCATAATCATAGGTATTTGAAATGAATGTTTTATTTGGTAGATCAGAAAGAAAATGTCTATGCATTATTTTTGTAGAATTAAAATATAAAAGAGAATATTTTAAAAATATATAATTTTAAATTGATTTTGTTTCTCTTTTTTCTATGTAAAATGTTATCTTATGATGTCATATTATTTAAATATAACGAAATCATATAAAAACACTTGAAAATAAATTAAATAATAATTAAAATAATAATCACTCACCAAATTCTCATTGGATTGATTAAAATGTTAAAACACTATATTTAATGATCTCTACAAACTCCTATTTTAGCATTTGACCAAATAAAAAGTCTAGCAATGAAATTTCAAAGTGTTAGAAGATTGGCTTGAATTTCATTAAGCCATAAATCCACAGTTCAACAATGTGGCCACTGAAGTTGCAAATGGTTAAATTGTTAACTGAGATAATTGTTGTTTGATCCCTAAATTAATTGGACCTTTACACCTTAATCCTTAAGTATCAACCATAAACAGGTCTAACTATTTACTTTAAGAAATCATCCTAACAACATTTGTTTTTCTAACTTCCATTCAATTATTCTGTAAATTCTATTTGTTCATAAATCCTTCTTTAAAGATATCGAAAGTTATCATCCAGTGATGATGTTTAAAGGAAATAAACAATTTATCAATCGTTTTAAATTTAATATGTTTTTTTATTTGTTTGTTTAATTTTAATTTTTTTCGCAATAGTTGAATATTTAATAGTTGGTAAGGTCGACTCATTGTGCTTGGGTAACTTGGATCAGATATTAAAGTTATCAAAAATATTGATCAAGACTAGATATTATTGATTGATGTTGGACATATGGAACAGAATTTTAGACCCCAAAATCCAATGGAGTGTGATTTCTATGTCTGAATCAAACCGGCCAGTCTTAGGCGTGTATCTCTGTCTAAATCAGATGAAGCCTTGCCTTGCCTTTCCTCTCTCAAATGATCTCCCAACAACTGCAAAACCAAAGTTTAAGAGAGCTGTGAGAAGAAGACACCTCTTTTAATTAAGATTTCTCTGGTAATTCAACTTACCCTTTTCATTCAACTCTTCAATGATATACTCCAAATCACTGGCAAAATCTTCTTTAGCAGTCTCCACATGAACACCATCTCCTGAATAGTCATATTTTAGCTCCTTGAGAAAGGTTACCAGAGAGGCATCGCAGTGGAGGCCTCCAGGGCCATCAGGCAATATAGCAAACCCACTACGAGTTACGCTGATGCTCGTTCTATGTTCATGCCCGCCAACGATGTGAAAATCCACCTCCTCTTCACTAATCATCTTGGACAGGATAAAGGAGCAATATTCGTCCTTCGAAGCTTCCTGTAAGCCATATAATACGGTTTCCTACCACACAGAGAAAGAATGTGAGCCAACACTTGTACAAAAAAGAAGGAAAATTTGGGTTTTAATTGTGATCAGTCTTCGACCTCTTCTGTAATCCTTTTGTGCAGAGAGATGACATTACTTCTATCATCAGTGGCAAATGTGAACAGTTGCTCAGGCTCCTCATCAGTCACAGATTCTGTAAACGCATGAAACTACAGTGCATGTTCTATTTCATCAGAAATGGACACCAATCAGTTCAAAAGGAATGAAAATTTGAGATTTTTGTTACTTTCATACCGTCAGCTGTAGATTCTTCTTCATTAAAAATGAAAAACCAAGAGCGGTTTAGCTTGAACCCTGAAACTGTTTAAGCCAATGAAGTCGAGGTATTCCTTTTGTGTTTCGTTACGCAGAATCCTTATCGGATCTTCATCACTGGTTCTTAAACGAAGTGCAACTTCGTCAGGATACTGAGAAACACATTCCATAAAGAAACGCTTCATGTCACGGGTAAAATCCAGGAGGAAAGAACCAGCTGCACACCACAACACTAGCACATGATAGAATCAAAAAGTTTAACCATCCAAGAACAAAACTGAAAGAAAACAAGACTTATTATTACCCCAGGATCCACATCGATTTTGAGATCAGCGAATGAGCTCTTCTCACGCTTCATATTCCATAAGAGTGTGTTTATCGAACGTTGTGCACCGTATGCCTCTTTCGAATTGATTATTGTGGAGTATATGTTTTTTGTAGTTACATCCACTTCCACATTCTCAATCCATATAACCTCACATTCTGTAGGTCCATGTTCCCTGATTATGACCCCTGATGGTCTCTTTTCACTATTTCTAAAACCACAAGGATCAATAAAATAACGGCTTGTGACATCAACAATAACGTAAATTCCATCCATTATCCGTTTCCCGTATCGTAAAAACTCGAAATATCTTGTCGGCACCAATGTTGATGGTAGTTGAATCTCTGCATGCACCTATGCCAAACATATATGCATGGAACGTGGAAGTTTATTATAGGGGGCAATCTCAGTTTAACAAACATGTATGGGCTGATGGAGATCAGTTTACCTGTACTACACCCTCGATGGATGCATCAGTCATGCTTAAGTTCCGAATACTGCCTGTTACTCTATCCTCATATGCATGTTTGACAAAGGGAAACAATGTCCTAGACCACTTGGTGTTCTGGGAACATATATACAGCAAGAACATAAGGGACAACTAAAACTGAATTAATGGAGCAAGAAAGCGAGCATGGGACAACTTCTAATAGTTATGAACTACCGATTTGGCATTGATACACAAAACTTGAAATATAAGAAAAGCATGAAATACTCACCACATGCATCATAATAGCGACCAATTCGGATGCTCGGATATCTGGAACGACCGCAGTTGCAACAGAGAATTCTATCTTTTTTCCAGGCAGAGGAGGAGTTCGGAACTCATTTAAAAGATCATCCAGATTACCTAACCCAGGCTTCGCTCGAACCCAAGTGCCTGCTTCCAATGCCAATGTCATGACCTCCAGGTAAGCTGCCTTACAGTGATTGTTTGCAAATTGCAATTTTTGGTAGTCACTAACTAGTCGTTTATATTTTCTGAACACAAATGGAGAGTCTCTATTGGCAGATGTTTTATCTGCAGAAGAGGATCCAATGACTTTGCGTTCCTTTGCAAAAGCCTCAATTCTTTCTTTATCTTCCAAAGCTTCATCTGTAGAGTCTTCAGAATCATCTAGACATATCCACATGCGCCTAGAAGATCCAGGAAACTGGCAAAACCAAAGATTTAAGTATCGTTTTAGTTCTCTGAATTGCCGCAATTAAATACTAAAATGTTTCATCTTCATTGTTTCAATAACGAAAATTGGGGAAATTTACACTTTACCGGTCTAGAGTCCATGGTTGAATCTTCGAAACCTTGGTTTCCAAGACTGTATACACATAATGGATCAAAATTGAAACTCAAGTTTACAAAAGAAAAAAAAACCTACCTGAAGAAGATTAAATTATCTTTCCAAGAATCAAAATGTAGTGATTCAAGAAACTAATGTAATACATACATACCTTTGTCAAGAAAGGCAAACGATAACAGAAAAGGAAGAAGGATTAACGAAGAACAGGTTGAGTATAATGAAAATCTTTACAAGATTCGTTTGTTCTTCGATACTGATGATGATTCAAAACCAAGTGCAACCTATCTTTCAATTGAATGTAGGAAAACGGATACTGAAAAGGATAAAATGGATACAAAAAGAGCAGAGAAAATACCTCGAAAACAAGAAGTCAAAATTTTCCTCATGCGGAGAAAAATAGCTCTGAAAATGGGATTTAAAGAGGGTTTTTAAAGTGAAACGAAGGGTCGTTCGTTTCTGTTTTCAGTTATATTCCCGCCAGAACTTGAAAATTTTCCGAAGGGTTTAAGGGATAATAGACACGTGTTTTTCTTCGATTTGTCAGCTTTTTATATATAAATATATTAACTTTTACCCAGAAAAACTAATTTCTCCTTGGCGATACTTATTAATAATATTTTTTTTATAAAAAATTATTTTCATATTATGCTTTTATTTTATTCTTTAGAATTCATTTGAGATATGAAGGGGTAAGAAGGAATAAAAGGGATGTTAGAATGTGATTGCACTTTTAAAAATTTTAAATTGTTGTATAGTCAAGTTATTTTTATATTTTTATCGGTTATTTAATTTCATATTTCTTAAAATTTTATAATTTTATTTAAATTTTTAACATAATTTTATAAGTTTATACCCTTACCATGAACTCCTATGCATGTCCCTTGTTTTATGAGTATAAATGTAAAATATAAATATATATTTAATATGTATTAATTCTTTTACAATTTATTAACTATTAATTTGTCTAATACGAAGATTTCAATTTCATCTCTAGTGTTAAATTTCTTAAACAATATTAGTAGTTTAAATCATAACATTATGGATAGAGCGAACTAAATTAAAAGAATCATTTACATAATAAATATAAATTACTTCATCCAAATTAATCGTCTAATAAATCAAACATAATAATTACAATAAAAATATTTCAAAATTTCAAAAATCCTTAAAAGAGTCTTATTGACATGCCCATATTCATATATGTATATATTGGATAAAAGTATTATGTTTCTTTAAAAATATTGAAAATCTAGAAAAATCTTTAAAAATACTAAAAGTTGAAAAAAAAAACATTTAATTTTAGAGAAAAATATTATTTTACAATGTGGATATAACATATTCGGCCCACACGTCTATATAAACAAAGGAAATAACTAGTTCCAAGCATGATTCTCTGCTTCTTTCTTTACCCTTTTGCATTTGCAATACTCGGACTATCCACCTTCATCTGCAGATGATAATGCAGCAGCTCCTATGGCTGCGGAGAAGCCAACCGAGTGGCACATCCCTTGACGATGAGTCAAACACAGAGCTTTAGGTGTTTCTTGTTAAAATCAATTAATCTTGCATGCGGAAGCAATTAACATAAGGATATTGAAAGGGTAATTAAATCAACAAAATCAAACTGATCATGACATAATTATTAAGAATTACAGTAAAAGGAATGAAAACTTACTTGATGATTCCATTTTGAAAGTTGAATATACCAAAAGCAAGGAATATAAATGTTATTCAATCCCAATACTGTATAATTTTCAATTCGCCTTGTGATGATATCAAGACTTGTTTAATTCTTGATGAAAGAATCAGAACCCAAAACATAGAGTGTTATTGTTTTCTTTTTAAGAGAGGAGAGAGCATGAAAAATAAAATTGTCAGCTACGTGAGTTTTAAAAAAATTAATTCAACTATGTTTTTAAATCACAAAATAACCGAAAGGTCCCTCTACTTTTCAGTTACACATACCACTCAAACTTATATTTCTTCTTTACAGTCAGTTGCTTTTTTTGCAGCCATGTTCAAATTTTCATTTTGTCAAGAAAAGCATCCGAGGTACAATGAGAATTAACAAATATGAACCAGTGATTACAAGCTTTTTAACAACTCTTCGGAATGCCATGGATGAATGCTTAGCTAATTTTATGCTATTAGGGATTGTTTGATTCATTCTTATCTCTTCACGGTTGCTTCAAGCTTCCATAAATTTTTAGTTCCCTTAACTTCTCATAAGGAATTTACCCATCGCACATTTCACCATTTAATCATTGATGCATAGATAATTCATTTTCTCATATGCCTGTGCAAAACAAAAATGATCAATTCTAGTTGGCTCGTCACTAATGTTTTACTTGTCGCATTTTTTTTGTAGGATTGGATCCTTGAGCCTACTTCCCATGGTGAATCATTGCTAAAGTTTTGTGGTGAGAAATAGGATTATGATGAATGCTAGTTGAAGAACAATATAGCTGTAAGGAACAGATGTGAATCCAGTAACATTCAGAGCTCTACATACAATGACCAAGAATGAGTTGCTGTATAAACTGTTCGATTAAACTATTGACATTTACAAGGATTTGCAGGTAATAACAAATCTCTGATCTTCTAAGCATCACATCCCAAAAAATATCAGGGATGGTAAGAGTTGTTTGCAACCTCCTTTGTCCTATGGCATTTCCCAATTATTACATGTTACAAAATTCTTCTCTTTTTTTTCACGACTGTTTGCTGCAAACAAGTTCACATCTTGTGGGTGGGCCTCTGCAGCATCGATTTGTCATTTGACGTGATTTAGGGTCACTGCCAATATAGTTTCGGATATCATCATTTTCCAGGCCATGAATTTTCCTATTCTTTTTGGCTTAATTAAAAAATAAGTACCTATATTTTTTGTCAAAGTAGTAACCTAAGGTATATTGCCTTTTTCATCTAGGTACCTATAATATTTTTTTGGTCAAACAATGTACCTAAGGTGTACCACCTTTTTCATGTAGGTACCTAAAGTATTTTTTAATAGATGTCATGTCTCAACTTTAGTTAGATGAAAATATGACATATTTTAGGTATATACTTGATAAAAAAATACATTAGGTATCTAGGTGAAAAAGATGGTATACTTTAGGTACTTTAACCTAACCAAAAATATTTAAAGTACTTGAGATGAAAAATGTGGTATATTAAAAGGTATCTATTTCTGAAATAAGCCTTTCTTTTTTATAGCTGATGGGGGATTTGCATCTGGGAAATTTCATGCAAACATACCTGGTAGTTGGTGGGGTGGGGTTTTTAAGTTAGCGCTCATTCTCATAACTTGACAGACGAGAATCTGATAGAACAGTGAATAATTGTGTGTCTACAAACAGCTGCAAACAACAAAAGAAAATTATTTAGTAATGGAAGCTGTTCAGTAACCCATAATTTACATCATCTACACACTTTTTCAGTAGTATGGATGAGTGTATTCTTTGCTTTTGCTAGTATCAGTAGTTTAAACAAAAGTAGTCTATTGAGTTCAAGTTTGGTTGGCATCATTGTCGTTCCAGCATGTTTAAACATGTAATGTCCTGTTAATGGATTTGAGAGGGGTTTAAGTAGTTTAAACATTGTATCAAAAAAATATTAAAACGAAAGGAGAGAAAATACCTTAATGAAAGGCTGGTCATTGACCGGAAAAGAGTGGATAAAACTATCTTTAAGTAGTATAGAAACCTGTTGGTTAATCAAACACGTAAAATCAAGCTGAGAAATATGTGCATTTCTGCATCGATATTCTTGGGAAACAAACTGGAAGAACAAGAAGATAAGTGCCAACCCTGTCATCGTTCGATTGTACATTAGTAATTGTGTGAGACCTCAGGTTTTCACAAAGCGACTCTAGGTATTCCCTCATGACTGCCAAAAATTGGGTTGCGGCTTCAGCCTGAATCGGTAAACCGGAAAGTAGGAAGTTAGTTTTTGTTGGAAAGATGGATATGAAAAAAGTAAAGATGAAAAGGATTGGAGATTAACATATTCTAAGAAATAAGTGCTTAAGTTGTAACATGAAACATTTGGTTATGGTGATGAATAAAGCACCTGCGCTTCATTGCACCTATATGTAGGATGCTTTGTTAGGTATGGCTCATAAATATACCAGTACAGGGTTAATTTTGTAATTATGTACCAGGATTTTCTATTATAAATAGAGATGTAACCTAGACCTAAAATATCATTGAATAAAAACTTCTAGCGCCGCCTAGGCACCGAGGACGTAAGCACATTGCCGAACCTCGTAAAATTCTCGTGTTCTTTTGTTTTCTTTACCCATTTTCGTCAACAATTGGTATCAGATGTCAGGAGCAAAATTCGAAGTCGCGAAATTCGATGGTCAGGGTAACTTCGGATTATGGCAAACGAGGGTGAAGGATCTATTGGCGCAGCAAGGGATCTTGAAGGCTTTGCGATCTACAAAGCCGGCGTCGATGGATGAGGAAGATTGGGAAGAATTGCAGCAGCGAGCGGCAGGAACCATACGATTATGCTTGGCGGACGAGGTCATGTATCACGTCATGCGTCTATCGTCTCCAGACGAAATTTGGAGGAAGTTGGAAAGTCAGTTTATGTCCAAATCCTTAACGACAAAACTGTATCTGAAGCAGCGGCTGTATGGGCTGAAGATGCAGGACGATCACGATTTGGCGCAACACGTGAATGTCTTCAATCAAATCGTTTCTGATCTGGCTCGGCTTGATGTGAAAATTGAGGATGAAGACAGAGCGATGATTCTGTTGTGTTCGTTGCCTCCCTCTTACGAACACATGGTGACTACTCTTACATATGGGAAAGAGACTATCAATGTTGAGGAGATTACTGCAGCCTTGTTGGCTCACAACCAGCGGAAGCAGAATGCAGGGGAAAGCTCTCAAGCCGATAGCTTATATGTCAATGGTAATCGAGATCGTGGACGGAAGCCAGAGAAGGCAGGGTCCGGAAGCGGAATTCCAGATCCAAATCCAGGGATAAGAAGACGATTCACTGTTACAAGTGCAAGGAGGCGGGACATATGAAGCGAGACTGTCCGAAGTTGAAAAAGCAGACTGATGAGAAGCGTGATGGCTCATCCAAGTCTGTGAACGTGGTCGAGGATGATAATTCTGATTGCAGTGAGGGTGATATGCTTTCTATTTCAACGACACAATTGACGGATGCTTGGATTCTTGATTCTGGATGTTCTTATCACATCACGCCAAATAGGGAATGGTTTTCGACATACAGGCCGGTTAATTCTGGTTCGGTTTATTTGGGTGATGATCGATGTTGCAATATTGTTGGTATTGGTGATGTCAGAATTAAGATGCACGATGGCTCCGTTCGGACGTTGAGTGGTGTTCGACATATCCCAGACTTGAAGAAGAATTTGATTTCCTTGGGCACTTTGCACAAGAATGGTTTTATCCCTAAGGCTGACGAGGATAGGGAACCATTCGGATTGTTAAAGGAGCATTGACTGTGATGAAAGGCAAGATGACTGCATGGAATATCTACAGATTGTTAGGGAGTACCGTTGCAGGTGGAGTTCACTCTGTTGAGTCCTGTGATGATACGACAAAATTGTGGCATATGCCTTGCTCTTAGTGAACGTGATATGGCAGAACACAAGAGAAACTTGTTGCATGGTGTCAAAAGCTGTAAGCTCGACTTTGCAAGTATTGTGTTCTTGGTAAACAGACTAAAGTCCTTTCAAGACTGCGAAGCACAACTCAAGGGATTCTTGTTATGTGCATTCTGATGTATGGGGGCCTTCCACGACATCGTCTTTGGGTGGATCTAGGTACTATGTTACTTTTATTGATGATTTTTCACGGAAGTTTGGGTGTATTTTTTGAAACAGAAATCTGAAGTTTTTGAGAAGTTCAAGCTGTGGAAAGCTGAGGTAGAAAACCAAACAGGACGAAAAATCAAGTGTTTGCGGTCTGACAATGGTACGGAGTACAGATTCCAGTTCCTACAATTCTGTAAGGAGCATGGGATTCAGAGGCATTTTACAGTGCGCAAGACACCACAACAGAATGGTGTTGCGGAACGAATGAACAGGTCGTTGAATGAAAGAGCCAGATGTTTGCGGTTGAATGCGGGGATTCCCAAACACTTCTGGGCTGAGGCTGTTAACATGGCGTGTTCCTTATCAACAGATCGCCAAGGGCATCGCTGGCTGGGAAAGTTGCAGAAGAGGTATGGACTGGTCATGATGTTATTTTTGATAACTTACGGATTTTGGTTGTCCTGCTTATGTCATGTACTGCTGATGAGAGATCCAAACTTGATGCAAAATCGAAGAAGTGCATTTTTCTGTGTTACAAGAAATGTGTCAAAGGATTCAAGTTCTGGGATCCAGTTGCGAAGAAAGTTGTGATTAGTAGAGATGTATTTTTTGATGAACAATCCATGTTGCAGCAGAAGCAAGACACGACAGTGGTGGATTTCGAGCAGTTTCCAGTTGAGAAACCAGAAACTTCTCAACCGACTTCTGGTGGTTCCACTACGGATATTTGCAGGATTATAGTCTCGCCAGAGACAGGGTGAGACGGACGATATAAAGCCTCCGAACAGATTGGGTTTTGAAGACTTGGTATCTTTTGCACTTATTGTTAGCAGTGATGATCCGATTACTTTTCATGATGCCGTTACTAGTCAGGAAAACGACAAGTGGATGGCAGCCATGGTTGAGGAGATGGAGTCTTTGAATCACAATCGCACATGGGAGTTAGTTCCCCTTCCTGAGGGTAAAAAAGCCGATTGGTTGCAAATGGGTGTATAAGAAGAAACCAGTAGTAACAGAAAAAGAGGGGGGAGAAGTTCAAGGCTCGTTTGGTAGCGAAGGGTTTTTCACAGCAGAAAGGAGTTGATTATGATGAAATCTTTTCTCCTGTGGTCAGGCACACTTCAATCCGAGCAGTACTTGCATTGGTGGCTAGTTGTGATTTGCATTTAGAGCAGATGAATGTTAAAACTGCTTTTTGCATGGTGATTTAGAGGAGCAGATCTACATGCGGCAACCTGAAGGTTTCACTCAACCTGGAACGAGCATTTAGTTTGCAGATTGAAGAAATCTTTGTACGGGTTGAAACAGTCTCTGAGACAGTGGTATAAACGGTTTGACTCCTATATGATCAAGATTGGCTACAAACCGATGTGAGTATGATTGTGTCTATGTTAAGAGCCTTGATGATGGTTCTTTATTTTTCTATTACTGTATGTTGATGATATGTTGATTGCTGCGAAGAACATGGATGATGTTATCGGTTTGAAAACTTATTGAGTCAGGAATTTGATATGAAAGATTTAGGTGCTGCAAAGAAATTCTTGGAATGGAAATTTGCAGGGACAGAGACTCAAGGAAACTGCGGCTATCTCAACGGGGTTATGTTGAGAAAATGCTAGAAAGGTTTGCGATGAGCAGCGCAAAACCAGTTAGCACTCCATTGGCGAATCACTTTAAGCTCTCATCAGAACAGTGCCCCAAGACAGATAAGGAAGCTGAAGATGGCAAAGGTTCCGTATTCTAATGCTGTTGGCTGCTGATGTATGCGATGGTATGTACTCGTCCTGATTTAGCTCATGCTGTTAGTCAAGTTTGTAAGTACATGTCTAAACCTGGTAAGCAACATTGGGAAGCGTCAAGTGGATCTTTCGGTACTTAAAGGGTACTGTGGGACATGGAATTGTTTTTGAGAGTCAGCGGGATAATCCTTTGGTTGTAGGATATGTGGATTCAGACTATGCAGGTGACTTGGATAATAGAAGATCTACGACAGGGTATGTCTTTACTCTTGTGGAGGGCCTATTTGTTGGAAGTCTATTGTTCAATCTATTGTGGCTCTATCTACAACTGAAGATGAGTACATGGCAGCGGCTGAAGCTGCAAAGAAGCTTTATGGCTTACTGGTTTAGTGAAGGAGTTGGGTGTTCAACAAGGTGGAGTTCAGTTGCTTTGTGATAATCAAAGTGCTATTCACTTGGCTAAGAATAAGGTGTATCGTGCTAGAACTAACATATGATGTAAGGTTCCACAAGATCAGAGAGTTGGTTGCATCTGGAGAGGTTTTGTTTCAGAAGGTACATACTGATGAAAATGCCGCTGATATGTTCACTAAGCCAGTTACGACAGACAAGTTCAAGCATTGCTTGGACTTGTTGAATGTTTCGAGTTGTTAAAGAATCAAGGTAACCCAACCCACATTGAATTTTCAAGAGGCAGGATATTCGCCAAGGGGAGATTGTTAGGTATGCTCATAAATATACCAGTAAAGAGGACAGGAGATGGAGCGGAGTGAGCGAAGCGAACGCAGCGACATCAACTGTCCTTACAAAGAAAGTCTCGTTGTGGGGTTACGAATTATGTGGGGGGGCGGGGGCGCAACCCCCGCGGTACGGTGGGGTGCGGGGGCGCAACCCCCGCGGTACGGTACAGGGTTAATTTTGTAATTATGTACCAGGGTTTTCTATTATAAATAGAGATGTAACCTAGACCTAAAATATCATTGAATAAAAACTTCTAGCGCCGCCTAGGCACCGAGGACGTAAGCACATTGCCGA